TGTATATATATATATATATATATATATATATATATATATATATATATATATATATATATATATATATATATATATATGTACGTTCATCCGTTTCCTAAGATGACTAATGCTCCTGACCTTTAACCTTTTAGTGGTTTTTGTATATACGTGTGTGTTAATTTGTATTTTGGGTATTATTGTGTATTTTTAGAGGTTTGTAGGTTTTATATGTGCTTATTTGTATGTGTTTTGTATAAATGAGTATTCTTACATTCATAGTATTCACAAAATATACAAACAGGAACATCCAATATACAAAGGCATAAACCAACCAGGAAACAAATAAATGTCTTGGCTATTGAATTTTGTATGTTTGTATATCTGTATGTGTGTGTGTACGTGTGTGTATGTTTGTGTGTGTGTTAGTGTGTGTATGTATGTGTGTGTGTGTGTGTGTGTGTGTGTGTGTGTGTGTGTGTGTGTGTGTGTGTGTGTGTGTGTGTGTGTGTGTGGTGTTTTGTGAAAGATGCCTAGAAATTAATTATAACACGGTAGTCGTAAATATATTGATTGTCTGCATTGGTTTGACTGGACGATCGTAGAGTAAAAATATACGAGGGCATTTTGTTTGCGTGTATGAAGTGTTTTTTCATATTTTTTTTTCATTTTTTCATTTTTTTTGTTTTTTCATTTTTTTTTATCAAAAAACGTTATTTCATAAAAATTGAAGTTAAGTGTTAGTAAAGTTAAGTCAAGCATTCTTGGTGCCCCAAAAATTTAAATTGAACCAATTTAAGAAATAACAAAATAAAATTGAATTACAGTTCGTTGCAAAAATGACATTTAAGATATTAATTGTGGTGTTCGTTAGTTAGCCTGGAAGAAAAAATAAAGAATGGAAATATGTAAAAACTAAAAATACAGAATGTACACTAAAATAGTCTAATATAGAAAAGCGACGGTTCGAAGCAAACTATGAAAAACAAACAAGAGAATTTTGTTTTTTTTTTAAACAGGTTGTAAGACTTTTTCTCGGTGATAAGGAAGGCAGTTCCAAGTTTTGAGAACGTTAAAACCAAAGTTTCTACTGTTTTTCTTGTTGTTTTCAATTGATGTTTTTAAATTTCCTGCTATAACTGGTCCTGAAAAACAAAACACTAATTTTTTGCTTTTTTTGTGTGTTTGTGTTTGTTTGTCTTTACGTGAACGTCTGTGTTTGTATGTTTTTAAGTTTGTGTGTGTGTTTGTTTGTGTGTACCAAATACTAAATACGTTTGTATGCTTCATTTCCTGTTTGTTTTTGGTTTCTACACACACGCACACACACATGCACACACACACGCACACACGCACACACACGCGCGCAAACACGCAAGCACACACGCACACAATCACTATGCTCGCCAAGTAATTTCATTTTTAATGGCGCCAAAAAATTGAAGAAAGGAAGAGATATTTGCAATTAAAATGCTCCGTTACAGATCAGCAAACAGTACAAGGTCTTTTATTCATCTAATTAATTCGTCTTCCATTCATTTTTTTCATTTTTTAAATGTTTTTCACTTTTTTTGGTTTTTTATTCGTTTCATTCAATCCTTCATTCATTCGTTTGTGAAATTTTTAAGCTTTCAACTGGTTTGTTTGTTAATTTATCTTTCAATTAATTAAATTTTTCATTGATTTAATGATTCATCCGTCCGTTTATCCATCCATTCATTTATCCATTTAACCATCCACTCATTCATCCATTCATTCTTTATTTATTCATTCATTCATTCTTCATTCATTCATTCACTCATTCATTCATTCACTCACTCACTTGTTGATGGTCAAGTGTTCTTTCATAAAATGCCGGTGAAAGCAATAGAAATATTTTTTTCTAGAACGTTTTTCAATATTTTTTACATAATAATTACATTATTATCATTATTATTGTTGTTGTTTTTTTGTTGTTGTTTTTGTTGTTGTTGTTTTTTGTTGATGTTGTTGTTCATATTATTTACAAAAGTATTACCATCATTGCTATCTTGCAAACGAACAATGGAAAAACAAAGCGGGACGGAACTCTAACACGCCAATTCTCAAACATCAGCTTTATACACTCATGCATACATACATACATTCATTCATACATACATACATACATACATACATACATACATACATACATACATACATACATACATACATACATACATACAACATACATACATGCATACACACATACATACATGCATACATACATACATACATACATACAAACCTGTTTGTATCTAATCTCTGTATGCTTTATTCGCGACGTACTTATGCGTGCGTATAAATACGTATACGTAAAGCATATGAATGACTTTGTATGTGTATTATTGTTTGCTGGTTTCCATGTATGTATGTTTGCATGTATGTTTGTATGTGTTTCTGTTTTGTATGTGTGTGTTTGTATGTGTGTTTCTATGTGTGTTTGTATATGTGTGTTTGTATTCGTTTATGTGGGCATCTATCAGGCTCACGTGTTTCTTTGCATAACTCCATAATTTTCATGACTCCAACCTCAAGTGATGATAACCTACGAAAAATTCCAATAGACAAACACACAGCACACACACATACAAACACACCTATACACATACACACGTACATACACATGTGTACAAAATACGTATGCTCACGCATACATACATGCACTTATTTAATTTCTTGATATATTTATTCCTTATGTCCGTTCATGTGATTATCAACATGCAACCTTTACAAATAATACAAACACATAAAAACAAACAAACATACATACAAATAAACAAACATACAAATATACAAACATACAAATATACAAACATACATACAAACATCGTTCGGTTGACGCAACATATACCATTTTCGCGGAACCCAGCCGTTTTATTCCACCGTTAATCATCAGCAACCTGTTTTGCTTTGTGTGTATGTTTGTATGTTTTTGTAGACTTGTATGTATGTTTGTATGTTAGTATGTATGTTTGTATATTTATCTTTTCATGGTTTTATTTGTATTTTCGTGTTTATAAGTGGTTGTATTTTAATTATGAATTTACGCGTTTGTATGTAGGTATTTGTGCGTGTGTGTGTGTGTATATGATAGTAAGTGTGTGTTTGTGTGTGTGTGTATGTGTGTACCTGTGTCAGTTTGCGTGTATGCGTATATGTACGTGTGCGTACTTGTATGTTATATTCCATTACAATTGCCATCAATAAAATGTTCATTTTGTTTTTGATTGAGTAGCTCAGTGCAATACTTGCATATGAACATTATTTGAGTCTCCGCATCATGAACATATGAAAAAATTTTAACGCGTGTGTGTGTGTGTGTGTGTACAGTGTGT